GGACAATATACTAAGTGACTACTAGGTATTTGCCATGGTACTATATGGATGAAATGCATTACCATGGCCACGAATACACCTATTTCTGTGAATTCGTGGCTGTTAATTCTGTAATGCATAGGTGATATTCTGTTATGCATTAATGAAGAAGCTTGTGAGAAAGTTAGAACGAGAATGAAATGACTATGAATGAAGTGAGTACAAATAGGAAACTCTAGTTGGGTTGTACCCCCTATGGGATACCCCACTATAGCCTACACAAATAAGTAAGCTATAATATTCTGACACACCCCCATAGGCAAAGTGGGGGAGAACAAGGGGTCACAAGACCAGTCAAGCAAAACAAAGCAAAGCTCAGGGTGGATCAAAAAGTCACCACACATTCCGAGCACAAGTTCAAGGGCCACAAGGCCAGTTCACATGCAAGACCATATATAGAGATATACAAGAGTCAAGCAAGCAAGAGCAAGAGTATATATAGGTCGAGGTACAAGCAAGGTCAAGAAGTGAGCAAGTGAGGCAAGACAGGCACAAGACCCAACTGCGTGCAGCAACGCTGATGATCACAAGGCGCAAGTGCCTTGGTGAAGACATCAGCAGTGTTGGCCTCAGAGGCCACGTACGCAAGTCGCAATTGTCCACGCTGCTGTAGCTCACGAGCAAGAAAGTAGCGGAGAGCAATGTGCTTTGTCCTGTGCTCCAGTCGCTGCTCTCGACACAAGGCCAGCATGGCCTTGTTGTCTACGTACAGGACTGGAGGAGAACGAGGAGGCTCTCCAAGGTCGGTCAACAGGTAGGTGAGCCAGCGTAACTCCTGTGCAGCCATAGCCCCGGCGTAGATCTCAGCCTCACAACTGGAGCCGAGAACAGAAGACGAGCGGGTAGCCCGCCACGAAACAGAGCCGGAACCAAGGCTGAAGGTGTAACCCTGTGACGACCGCTGCGTAGCCTGGTCGTCAGCCCAAGAAGCGTCCGCGTGCCCAGTGAGGACCACTGGACTGCGCCCTCCAAGCACTAGCCCCATGCCCGACGTACTGCACAAGTAGCGCAACACCCTCTTCGCTGCAGCCATGTGCTCTGGTCGGTGTCTCCCAGGAGCAACATAGCGTGCAAGAATGCTAAGAGGGTATGCAAGGTCAGGTCGTGTGCAGGTCATCAGGTACATGAGGCAGCCAACAAGCTCTGCATACGGGCCACTCGACTCTACGGACTCATCCGAAGGCAGAGCTGAGAGCGAGTGGCGAGTAGGCAGAGGAGTGGCCTGAGGCGAGGAGTACGTGAAGCCGAAGCGCTGAAGGACCTGCTGCACCATGTGTGACTGAGTCAGGGTAATGGTGCGGCGTGCTCTGTCTCGGGTGATCTGCAAGCCAAGGTAGCTGCGCAGTTCACCCAGGTGAGTGCATGTGTGTCTCTTCTGCAGCTCGGACTTCACGTAGGCGAGTCCAGCAGTGTCAGCTGTGGCAAAGACCAAGTCGTCGACGTACACGAGGATGTAGAACGGCGGCAGAGAGGTGTCGGTGCGCAGAAACAGCGACGGGTCGGCAGTAGAAGGAGCAAACCCAAGTGCCGCTAGCGTAGTCCTCAGTGTGTCGTGCCACTCACGTGGCGCCTGGCGGAGACCGTAAACTGGACGCCGGAGACTCCACTGGGTACCAGGAGGGAAAGACCCAGTAAAGCCAGGTGGGCGACGCAGCCAGATCTCCTCGTGCAGGCTGCCCTGCAAGAAAGCTGTGCTGAAGTCGAGAGAGTGCAGCTCGTAGTCACGGTGAGCAGCAACGTGCAGCAGTACCCGAAGAGTGGTCATCTTCGGGGTGGGGGAGAAGGTCTGAAAGTAGTCAACCCCCTGCCGCTGACTGAAGCCACGAGCCACGTAACGCGCCTTGAAGACAGGCGGAGAACCCGGCGGCCGCTTCACCCTGAAAATCCACATGCCACTGACGATGTTCGCCCCAGGAGGGGGAACAGCGTCGACGTAGGTGCCTGTGGACTTCCAAGAAGCCATCTCTGCATCCATAGCTGCCAGCCACTGAGAGGAGTAGGGACCCTCTATCGCCTCCGCGCAAGAGCGCGGAGTCGGGATGTCAAGTGCATCCGGGTCTCCCTCAGGGGCTAGCAGTACAGACGCGAGATGAGGTGAAGCGGCGGCCAGACACTGGAACTCCTCCTGCCTGTCCTCAAGGACGTCCGTGCCAAGGGCACACTCACCCCCGACGGACGGAGGACAGGCAGACTCAGACTCAGCGAGAAGACTAGCAGCGTAGTCTAGACGACAGCGCGCAGCAAAGTCGACGAGCTCAGTGACAAGGGCAGACGCAGCAGAAGACTCGAAAGAAGGGTCAGTGACAGCAGTAGCAAGGAGACGCGTGACAGTAGGACTGGCAGCACGAAGAGAGTCCGACTCCGGGTCGGCAAGAGCAGGAAGAGAGGAAGCAGGAGGAGAAGGCAAAGGGGCACGCAGAGGAGCAGTAGACGGACGCAGAGACATCCGGTGCGTGCCAGGGACAGGAGGAGGACGCTGACGCGAACCGCGACCACTAGCGCGCGCAGTACGAACAGGCGACGCAGGACGAGACGCAGGCTCACGACGCTCAGTAAGACCTCCAGTCGGACCAGCGTAGGGAGAAGGAGCAGGCAAAGGTGAGGCAAGCTGTAGCTGTGACTGTGACGAGACAGGCTGTGGACCCTCTAAGGGAGGAGGAGGAGGACCAGGAGAAGGTGTAAGACCAAGAACCTGCTGCAGGAGCGGAACGAAGTACGGCCGGGGCCGCGCGGCGACGCCAGAAACAGCAGGGACAGCACCAGTACCCCCAGCAGGAGTACCCGCTCCAGCAGCACCTCCAGTAGCTCCAGAACCTCCAGCAGCACCACCAGGAGCACCGCAAGGCGGACCTCCAGCGGCAGTCTCAGCGTCAACACCCTCAGCAGCACCAGCTCCAGGAGAACCCTCAGACCCAGCAGCTCCAGCACCCACAGTACGAGCACCGCCGGGACGCTCGGCAGCAGTACCCACTGCAGCCGAAGAACCTCCAGCACCAGCAGCACGCCTCCAGCGCCTGGCAAACCACTCACGTAGCTCCTAAGGGGAGAGTGGCTCTCGGCGAGACAAAGCACCTCCAGGCGGAGCACCCCCAGTCTCAGCACCCCCAGGCTCAGCACCCCCAGGCTCAGCACCCCCAGGCTCAGCACCCCCAGGCTCAGCACCCCCAGGCTCAGCACCCCCAGGCACAGCACCCCCAGGCTCAGCACCTCCAAACTCCGCACCCCTAGGCTCAGCACCCTCAGGCGTAGCACCTCCAGTCTCAGCACCCCCAGGCTCAGCTCCCGCAGCAGCACCAGAGTCACCAATGACCTCGACAGGCTCGACCGCGTCTACCTGGGACACACCTGAAGGGGCAGGACCCTGAGGGGGGAGGGGGTCTACCGGGGGGGGACCTGGTACCAAGAAGAGCGGGGGCGGGGGGAGGGACGGAGTGCGGTAGGGGAAGAGGCGGTAGTAGGGTACCGACTCGTCGAACGTGACGTCCTGGGAGGACAGAACACGTCGAGAGGTGGGATGGTAGAACTGCCACCCAGGGGCGTCGGGGGGGAACCCCAGGAAGACGCAGGGAGCAGCGCGAGGGGACAGCTTGTCCGCAGACAAGTCGCGGACAAACGCCCGAGATCCCCAGACCCGGAACGCCGACGCATCGCCAACCTTCCCCGTCCACAGCAGCGCTGGGGAGGTCTCCGGCCTGGAGACCCTGGGGTGGAGGTTGATCTGATGCGCTGCATACCTGACCGCAAACGGCCACAGAAAATGGGGGGCAGCCGCATGCATCATGGACGTACGAGCGACGTCCATGACCGTGCCAATGCGGCTCTCTGCAATCCCATTTTGCTGCGGGGAGTCCGGAAGCGTGAAGGACTGGCGGATGCCTCGCGCACGACAGTAGGCACGCAGAAGGCCAGAGGAGAACTCTCCGCCTCTGTCCGAGTGCAGACGCAACACAGGAAAGTCCGAGCCAAAGCTCTGCCTGAGCTGGAGACGAGCTGCGCGGATCCAGTCAATCAGCACCTCAGTGACATCACCCTTGCTGCGCAAGGGGAAGACTGTGGTGTAACGCGAGTAGTCGTCAACCACCAGCAGGAAGTAGCGCTCGTGACCGAGTCCACGGACGCGGGCAAGGCCCCACACGTCCATGTGAAGCGTCTGCAACGGAGCCTCTGTCGGAGGAAACTGGGAGGAGTGAGGGGCAGCACGCTGACGCCCCTCGACACAGGGGACACAGGCAGGGCCAGGGCCCTGAGGAAGGGGAGGTAGAGACCGGGGGAGACCAGACACAAGAAGACGGGAGGCCATGCCTCTGAGCCGAAGCAGAGAGGGGTGGCCAAGGCGGTGGTGCCAGAGGAGGGTCTCGTGAGACAGACGGCGACACGAACAAGGGGCAGACTCAGGACCAGACCTGGACGCTGCAGCAAACACCTGACCAGACGAAGGGACTCTACCAGACTCAGCACCTGGAGGAGAAGCAGTGGTCAGTGTGTACAGGCTCGACCCTGGCTGACGTGTAAACGTAGCCAGGTGACGACCCGTGCTAGCCTCCGTGCAGTGCGTCACTCGCTGACTAGCAGGGGTGAACTGGTGGACTCCCGCATCCTATAGGTCAGCACCACTCACCAAGTTCGTAGAGAACGAGGGGAGGTAGAGACCAGACAGGGTGCCAGAGGGAGCCGCCGGACACGGGAGGACTGTGGAGAAGCGAGACAGGACAGGACCCCCAGAGGGGTCAGCCAGGGAAACCGCAACCGGCCGACTAAGCGGCGTAAGTGTGGTGCGGTCCCGAAAGAAAGAGCGAGACGCTCCAGAGTCAAGAGTGAAGGTGTGGGAGGCCGAAGCCGACGCAGTACCTGAGAGCGCAGACGCACTAGTACCTGAGAGAGCAGTCTCACGAGCACCTGAGAGCACAGACGCACTGGCACCTAGAGCAGAAGCCTCACCGGCACCTGGAGCAGCAGTACCAATGCCCGGGTCGGGCGGGAAACACCGGTAACAGTCACCCTCCTCACTAATGGTCACAGCATACATGGCAGCAAGGATAGCATCAAAATCAAGATCAAAGATAGCTACACCAGCCCTAGACAGCTCTCCCCAGCGGGGGATCTCCGCGGCCTCCGGGAACTGCTGACGCCAAGCGTCCGTCAGGCGGCCAAAGCAGCGCTGGGCGGAGTGGGCACCCCCACACTGCTCTCCAGTGCGGTCGCCAGTGCGGAGAACGTAGGTGCAGGGACCAAAACCCCCACCGCGCTGACGCTGCGTGTACCACTCACGGAGCTGCTGAGGGGTGGGGACGTCGCGAGAACGCTGCTGCTGCTGCTGCTGCTGCTGCTGGCGCTGACCGCCACCAGTGCCGCTCCGCTGCGAAGCTCCACTCCGACCACCTCCACCTCCGCCACCCCCGCCTCCGCCTCCACCGCCCCCGCCTCCACCTCCACCGCCGCCACCTCCGCCACCTCCGCTACCACCGCCACCGCCGCCGCCACTCCCGCCTCCACTGCTGCCACTAGCACCCCCACCCCCGCTACCACCTCCACCGCCACCCCCACTCCCTCCGCCGCCTCCACCTCCACCGCCACCGCCCCCACTGGCCCCACCCGCTCCCTTGCCCCCCTTGCCCTTGCTAGAGCGGCGTCTCCTGCTAGGGGCAGACGCCGCACCGACCGACTCAAGACCAACGAGGTCGGCCGCAGCGGCAGAGGCGACAGAGGGCAGGAGAGGGGAAGGAGAACACCCCTCAAAGATGGGGGCGCGGGGGTCACCTCGAGAGGCTCCTACAGCGACTATGCTCTTCTCTGCTGCAAGGAGGGCCTTCTCTAGGCTGTCGACTGTGAGGGTGGTGGGACAGACTGCGAGGAAGTGGTCCCGGACTACACGAAGGGAGTCAGGGAGGCGAGTGACTAAGAAGTAGAGAGTGATGTACATGGGGGGGGGGTTCTTGGCGCAGAAGTCAGCAGGAAGCGCAGCGCGGTAGCGAGTGTCACTAGTGCGGAGGTGCATGATGAGATCAGCGACAGTGGGAAAGGCGGCAAGGTCAGGGAAGAGGAAGGGGAGCATGAGGCGGCTCAGTGCAGCAGTGGCAGGGGAGGAGTAGCGCGCAACTACAGCGTCGTACAAGGTCTGGGCACTCTTGTACTGGCTAAAGTGCGCGCGCTCAGCGGTAGGCAAGTGGCGACGCACAGCAAGACGTGCAGCAGCATCGCGCGTGGCCCACTGTGAGCGTACAGTGGCGTCAGCATCAACATCAGGGGAAGGGACGGCGCCAGAGGTGAGGTCAAAGAGAGACAGACCGTCCGCCCTATCGCACTGTAAAAACAGCTGCAGGTCGTCGAGCCAGACCTCAAAGTCTATGGCTCGACCCTCAGCGTCAAAAGCGAGGACACTAGGGGTAGCCATGACGACGAGAGTGAAGCAGTGCAAGCAGTAGGGGAAGGGCACGCAGTGAGAGCGGTACAGTGCTCACCGGGCAGGGCAGGTCGGGCGGCTAGGTAGAAAGGCGGCTCGGCTACTCAGCGACTCCGCTCCCGGGCGGCTCGGCTCCCAGGCGGCTCGGCGGTAGGGCGGCTCGGGCGGGGCGGCTCGGCTGCCGGGCGGCTCGGGTGCAGGGCGGCTCGGCTGCACTGCTGCTCGGCGGTACGGCGGCTCGGCTGCTGCAGGTGGGCGGCTCAGCTGCTGCAGTTGGGCGGCTCGGCTGCTGCAGTCGGGCGGCACGAGAGCAAGGGGCGGCGGGGCCGTGAGTGCTGGGGCGGCAGGGCCGCGAGACCAGGGGCGGCGGGGCCGCGTAGTAGGGGCGGCGGGGCCGCGTAGTAGGGGCGGCGGGGCCGGGAGCGCTTGGGGCGGCGGGGCCGCGAGATCAGGGGCGGCGGGGCCGTGAGCGCTGGGGCGGCGGGGCCGCGAGATCAGGGACGGCGGGGCCGTGAGATCAGGGGCGGCGGGGCCGGGAGCGCTGGGGCGGCGGGGCCGCGTATCAGGGGCGGCGGGGCCGGGAGCGCCGGGGCGACGGGGCCGCGTATCAGGGGCAGCGGGGCCGGAAGCGCTGGGGCGGCGGGGCCGCGAGATCAGGGGCGGCGGGGCCGTGAGCGCTGAGGCGGCGGGGCCGTGAGATCAGGGACGGCGGGGCCGTGAGCGCTTGGGCGGCGGGGCCGCGAGATCAGGGGCGGCAAGGGCCGCGCTTTCAGGGTCAGCGGGGCCGCGAGATCAGGGGCGACGGGGCCGCGAGATCAGGGGCGGCGGAGCCGCGTGAGGAAGGGCGGCGAGGGCCGCGAGAGCAGGGCGGCGCGGCCGCTAAGGCGGCGCGAGGGCGGGCAGCGGGGCGCGGGCGCTAAGGCGGCGCTCGGGCTGCTAGGGCGGGCGGCTCGCTAAGGCGGCGCTCGGGCCGTTAGGGCAGATCGAAAAAAAAGTAAGAGCAAGGGCCCGGAGCGCGCTCCGGGCAGAAAAAAAAAGGTTCGATGTGGTGGGCCCTAAGCACAGTTCCCACGGGGGAACGTGCTCGATACCATGAGAAAGTTAGAACGAGAATGAAATGACTATGAATGAAGTGAGTACAAATAGGAAACTCTAGTTGGGTTGTACCCCCTATGGGATACTGTCAGAAGTCCACTGGTGATCCCCGATCGATCCTAGGGAAGGGTTACAGGCACGTTTGCCTGGGGGGTTATGGGCGCACTGACCCGCTACTGAAACAAGCCCTTTTATCCCAATGGTCTAGTGGTTGGGATTCTGAGATGGTATCAGAGCGAAGGTCTCGGGTTCGAATCCCGGTGTATGCACTTCGGGCATCCCAGTGCGGGGGGGTGTCAGAAGTCCACTGGTGATCCCCGATCGATCCTAGGGAAGGGTTACAGGCACGTTTGCCTGGGGGGTTATGGGTGCACTGACCCGCTACTGAAACAAGCCCTTTTATCCCAATGGTCTAGTGGTTGGGATTCTGAGAGATACCCCACTATAGCCTACACAAATAAGTAAGCTATAATATTCTGACAGCTTGCGTGTGTTGGGAACAAATAAGTCTTAAGGCGCCTCTGTCGTGTCGAAACTCAGGACACTAGCGAAGCAGCACAAATCGAAGCATCGCGAGTCAACCCTCGGAGGTTAGGGTAACCGCCTAGAGGTTACGGGAAAGTCAAAGGTCAGCGACCTTTGACTCGACAATTACAGCGCGACAGCAAGGACACACAACTGACTCGACATTGAGCAGTTGCCCGAGTCGCACTGTATCGAATCGCAACAGTAAAACGGTTTAAATCTATCTATTCATATTCCTTGTACTCTTATATAAACCTTGTATTTGCTTGTTTAATCTAACTTACTTTGCTCTCACATACTAGTGCAAGGTGGTTCAACCACTCTGTATTACAACGCTTCCACTATTACAATCCTACTCAGTCCTTAAACTCTACAAAGATCCTAGGGCTTCTCAGCCCAACAGCGTGCATGTACCGGTACGCATAATATAGAATGCATAATGCATGAATACTGTATGATGCATATGCTGCAGTGATGCATACTAAATACGTACTTCTGTAGACCATACCTGTGTATAGTGAAATGAATGCATACGGTAATGATGGAAATGCGTGAAAGTTGACTGACCCATTCACTAGGCTACCGCATCCCCTGCCTAGCATGGGGGGGAAGTCAATAGCCTAATATTTGTGTCAAATATTATAGCCTGTAGTGGGTTGGGCTATATGGGGTACAACTAGTTAGGGTTAGGTGATGTACCCCAATTCTGTCAACACAACGCATTCCGCTGTAGTTCTCATTCTGACATGGTATCAGCAGTAGGTTAGCGCTCCTAGTCCTAGGCCCGCCCTTCCCTACCACTAGGGTTACCACTGCACCCTGCCAGCCCGCCAGCGCCCTACCCCACGCCCCAGCCGGCGCGCCCCTCCCCTCCCCGCCCTTAGCCAGCGCGCCCGCTAGCCAGCCAGCGCGCCAGCAGCCTGCGCGCCAGCCAGCCAGCCAGCGCGCCAGCCAGCCAGCGCGCCAGCAGCCTGCGCGCCAGCCAGCCAGCCAGCGCGCCAGCCAGCCAGCGCGCCAGCAGCCTGCGCACCAGCCAGCCAACGCGCCAGCCCGCCAGCGCGCCAGCCAGCCAGCGCGCCAGCCAGCCAGCGCGCCAGCCAGCCTGCGCGCCAGCCCGCTTGCACGCCAGCCCGCCAGTGCGCCCGCCAGCGGGCGCACCAGCGAGCCCGCCGGCTCGCCTGCCAGCGCGCCCGCCACCGAGCTCGCCAGCGCGCCCGCCAGCACGCACGCCAGCGCGCCCGCTAGCGCGCCCGCCAGCGCGCCACGCCAGCGGGCCTCGCCAGCGCGCACGCCAGCGCGCCGCGCCCGCCAGCGCGCGCCCTGCTTAGCCGCCCGCCAGCGCGCCGCGCCCGCGCGCCACGCCAGCCAGCGCGCCGCGCCGGAGCGCGCCCCGCCAGCGCGCGCCCCGCCGCCCCGCGCCCAGCCAGTGCGCGCCCCGCGTGCGCGCACTTGCCTCGCACTCACCTCCCTCTCCTCCTCCTCTCGCGGCTGGCGGCCGCTATCACTTGTCCTCGCCCCTCATGGCGACGTCTCGCGTGCTGCGTTTCGACCCTGAGGGGCGTGCGATCGACTTTAGTACCTGGCTGACGCAGGCCCAGCGCCACCTTAGGAGCCAGCGCCAGGATGGCGTGCACCTGTTTGCGCATGCGTCCGGTGCTCTGCCCGCCCCGCGGCAGCCTTCACCGCTGCCCACTACCCCACCGCCTACTTCCGAGCAGGAGGCTGAGTACCAGCGCCGGTTCCTCGCTCGTGACGTGTGGGAGTCTCGTGACGCTGCTGCCTGCCTCGCCCTGACCGACCTTCTCCCGCCGACTGAGGCTGTCCACTTCACTCAGGTCGAGTCTGCTGCAGACCTTTACACTGCTATTGTTGCTCGCTACTCCACTCCCTCCTCTGCCTCCCTCAGCCGCCTCCTCGTCCCCTTTATCTACCCTGACCTCGCCTCCTTTGAGAATGTCGCTGACCTCGCTACCCACTTGCGCTCCCTTGAAGCTCGCTTCAAGGCCGCTTGCACTGAGGAACAGCTTGCCCTTACACCCCCCCCCCATGTGGCTCACTATTCACTGGTTAGTCACTCGCCTCCCTGACCGTCTAGCCACAGCCCGCGACGCGCTTCTCCTGAAGCACCCCAGTGAGCTTACTATCGATCTTCTTGAGACCGCTCTATCGAAGATCGAGAGTAACCTCCTCGCTGTTGCCTCCGCCTCTTCCGCGCCTCCTCCTTGTCTCTTTGAGGGGTGTGCGGTACCACAGCTTCCCACCTTCGCTGCCTCGCTTGCCAGTGCCGCGTCTTCTGCCTCTGAGGAGACGGCGGCCGTTTCTGTCTCTGGCAGACAGAAACGTGGCAAGTCCGGCAAGAAGGGAGGGAAGGGCGGCGGGGACTCTGGGGGTGTTGCGGGTGGCGGTAGTACTAGTGGCGGGGGTGGCGGCGGGGGTGACTCGGGACCTGACGGCTCTCCTCTAGACGGTGGTGAGGGGTTTTCGCAGCAGCAGCAGCAGACTCCTCCGCAGCTGCCACCGCCTGGACAGCAGCAGCGGCAGGGACAGCAGCAGCAGCGCCAGGGCCAACAGCAGCGTCCGCCTCAGCAGCAACCCCAGCAGTGGGGCACTCTGCAGCAGTGGGGCACTCAGCAGCAGTGGGGCCCTTTGCAGCAGTGGGCCCCCCCGCAGCAGTGGAGACCTACGGGCCCCCCGAGCACTGGGCGCAGTGGTGCCCCTTCTAGTCGGGGACCCCGCTCGGCCGGCCGCGACGTTGGTCCCTGTGAGTACTGGATCCTGACGGGTCCGCGCAGGGG